GATGGGGTTGTAAGAGAAGTAAATGCGAGGGTCTTGGCAAGAGGCGTGGAGTTAAAAGATAAAGAATCACACACAAAGTGGGAGTTGTCACAGTTGCTCTTTGCTGACGACACTGTGCTCTTGGGAGATTCTGAAGAGAAGCTGCAGAGATTGGTGGATGAATTTGGTAGGGTGTGCAAAAGAAGAAAATTAAAGGTGAATACAGGAAAGAGTAAGGTTATGAGGATAACAAAAAGATTAGGTGATGGAAGATTGAATATCAGATTGGAGGGAGAGAGTATGGAGGAGGTGAACGTATTCAGATATTTGGGAGTGGACGTGTCAGCGGATGGGTCTATGAAAGATGAGGTGAATCATAGAATTGATGAGGGAAAAAGAGTGACTGGTGCACTTAGGAGTCTGTGGAGACAAAGAACTTTGTCCTTGGAGGCAAAGAGGGGAATGTATGAGAGTATAGTTTTACCAACGCTCTTATATGGGTGTGAAGCGTGGGTGATGAATGTTGCAGCGAGGAGAAGGCTGGAGGCAGTGGAGATGTCATGTCTGAGGGCAATGTGTGGTGTGAATATAATGCAGAGAATTCGTAGTTTGGAAGTTAGGAGGAGGTGCGGGATTACCAAAACTGTTGTCCAGAGGGCTGAGGAAGGGTTGTTGAGGTGGTTCGGACATGTAGAGAGAAAGGAGCGAAACAGAATGACTTCAAGAGTGTATCAGTCTGTAGTGGAAGGAAGGCGGGGTAGGGGTCGGCCTAGGAAGGGTTGGAGGGAGGGGGTAAAGGAGGTTTTGTGTGCGAGGGGCTTGGACTTCCAGCAGGCATGCGTGAGCGTGTTTGATAGGAGTGAATGGAGACAAATGGTTTTTAATACTTGACGTGCTGTTGGAGTGTGAGCAAAGTAACATTTATGAAGGGATTCAGGGAAACCGGCAGGCCGGACTTGAGTCCTGGAGATGGGAAGTACAGTGCCTGCACTCTGAAGGAGGGGTGTTAATGTTGCAGTTTAAAAACTGAAGTGTAAAGCACCCTTCTGGCAAGACAGTGATGGAGTGAATGATGGTGAGAGTTTTTCTTTTTCGGGCCACCCTGCCTTGGTGGGAATCGGCCAGTGTGATAATAAATAAAAATAACTTCCTAAACACAGCCCCATGGTACTAAGCTTTGCAATAATGCATGACACATAGAAGGGGCTCTGTAGTTCTGTAAAACCTACATAGAATGCTTGGTAATGTAACTTGTTGATTCTTGTAGATATCTGCATAACTCATTCTTGTAGATATTTGTATAACACATTTAGGGTCCTGTTACTGTTTTTACTGTACAGAGGGCTCTATATCAGTACGTACACTGATTAGTGGACTCTCTTAGTGTATGATCCATTATCATTATTCGTAATGGTTGGGAGGGTGAAAATTAAACCTGTAGGAATCATACAGCACTTAGGGGTGGGATAATGTGAGGCAGTCAGGTTCAGGCCATGGAAAGAGAGGATTGTTCCAAGACTCCTCGGCAACACTGGGCCAGAGAGTTCTGGTAAGAATTGACAGGTGAAGATAAGGAAGACAACATAAAAGTCGTCTTTGAGGAAAGGTCTATAAGTGCCTGTACACTGAATAACTGAAGATGATTAGGAGTTATCCTTCTAAAGTTGGACTGTTTTTTTTTTTTTTTAACACTTTAGAGTTAAAGGCAGGGGTTAAATGTGTTCCATTGTTGGGTATTGAAAAGGGTTAGAGCCTGTGCCTGGAGGCATGGGCATTCTAGGATGAGCTGGCAGCTATGCAAGTGAAACACAGCACACTAGGTTTGTCTGAACAGGTCTGAAATGGTCAGTCATTGGACCAACAGAATTGGGTCAGGTGGCGATTCAAGTAGGAAAAAACTGAACTTTTGATTTTACCTCTACCCACCCACCAAGGGCCACAGCTCAGAACCAGGTGCAACTTTCAGCGAAAAGAAAACTACATAGGCTGTGGCCATCCAGGTAAGTGAAGTCTCCAGCAGTAAAGTTCAAAATATCAGCGGAGACGGCAACCTATCCACTAGGAAAGAATCTGTCTTCAGGTCCTGTTCATGAATGATAAATTGTTATGTATTTGATAGTGATCATGATCAGGTGTAACAAACTGTGAATAGTGTGCAAGAGAAAAAATCTTCTAAATTATTTTTAATTTATGGACATGTGAATAAACCCAAAAAATGATCTTGAGCAATTACTGAAAACTTAAGTCTAATAAACATGTGGCTGTTTGGAGTGACATCTAAACTGTCATATCTGGGCACCTTTGCAAAGACAGTGATTATGTGTGAATGATGGTGAAAGTGTTTCTTTCTTTTTTGGGTTACCTGCTTTGGTAGGAGATGGCTGGTGTATTGAAAAAAAAAATATTGTACATAAAACAAGGTTAAAGAAAAAATGTAGGGATTTCACTATCTTTATTTAAAAAAGATTTGATTCAATATAAACAGCAAACTAATACAAAAAATTCAACCTGACACGCACTCTTTCTTTTTAAGCAGGGGGGGATAGCCATTAAGAGGGCTAGTGTGGAATTCCGCAGTCTAATTCAAATAAAACATTTGTGGAATGGAAATTGCGATATTGGCTAACATAGATGCTTGTGGTTCACATGAGGCAGAGGGATACGTTATTGTTTAAATCAATCATTAATCTGGTCAACTATGTCAGTAGTCCAATCATTACTTGCAGTGACATAAACATGTGTGAGCTAGTAGAGGATCTAGAGAAGGCAGATGCTGTTCAAGAAAAATAACAGGAATTCAATTTGATGTTATCAAAATGACTGTCACTATCCTACCAAACATCTCTTGAACAGCATATCTCATTTGCACATAAACAGCTAATAACAGTGTGACAGACAAAATTATTCATCAAAACATATAACATTGGTGGCTTATGCACAGACAAAACATATAATACATTAAATTCTTACTCCGTAACTTTAATTTTAACTCTGCAGTACTTATCTCAGACTTCAAGCCCAGTTCCCACTGTTGGAGACGACAGGCCGAATTTTCTACATCGTGGCAGTGACTGCTGGTTATTCGGGCCAGATCGGAGTCTGCGCCTCGCTGTTAATTTTTTTGAGTAATTTTTGGGTAAGAATTTTTTATACAAACCTTAGATAAATCTCCAGGTACTCGGTTCCCGTTCTAAACCTATCACAATGGATATGACCAAGGAAGAAAGTGGATAGTTCACAAGCTGTAGCATGTACACAAGATTCACACTTCAATAAAGCAGAGTACAGCAAAAGATAAAAAAAAAAAAAAAAAAAAAAAATACAGTAAGTTTGGAAGCATTTAACTATCTGCATAATTCTTGAAAACATTAAAAACTTCACATAAAACACTCAGTTTTTAATAATGAAATGATCTGAGTAAAATTTAAATCATAAACATCTTCACAGTAGCAGAAGATACATTGAGGAGAGCAGAACCAATACAATTTACAAGTCAATGTGACAATCTCTTAAATACAGGAGAAAAATGAAAAGATCATTCAGTATTATGTTTGAGAAGCAGCACAACACACTAAGCACACCAATACTTCCATCATCATTCATTTAGTTAAGCCCCTTGTGAACCAGACTTTACCTTAAACTAGAGTCGGGTAGCCACATTTTCAAACCAATTGGTATTGACAGTTTAGGAAAATATACTGTATACTTACTGTACTTTCGCACCTTTTATAATTAAAGTATTTAAATAATGGAACATTCTAAAATAAGTGTTATTCATAAATGCACCTTTCAAACTCACGTTTGAAGGAGAAAAATGGCCACTGTGGCACATAATACCTGCATGATTAACACATGCAAGGGGTTAACCAGAATCTTGATAATTAAGTTTACTCATATACTCTAGATTTTGGAATTCTTAGGTAACAAAAGTATTTTTTACTGATATTACCCTTCTCTCTACCAAATAAAGAGCTATCATACTTTCCTTCCCTGGTCATTAAGAATAAAAATGCTGTCCAGTATATCCATCACTTGCAAGGTCAATTTTGTATATTAAATTAATTACCGAACCAGGTACACAGAAGCTTCATTGATAGTTGCAGCTTTAGTAGTTCATTAGAAGACAGTATATACCATATGCACTAGAGCAAATACAACCATTACAATGTTACACGAGACTGATGAAAAACTGGACAACATCCTCCATTTTGAAATGCAACTAGCAGAATTATTTTATCGAAGATTCATTGTGGTTCATTGTTCATGTAAGAAAATGGAAAACAAACCTCAATGATTCTCTGAAGAAAAAACTGCTAGTCACATTACGTATCGTGAAATGTACATCTCATGGCTAAAGCCAACAGTTCAATAGGTAGTCTCAAAGTATGCTAAACCTCATTAATTTGCAAGGTAGATTTGCAATCCTGGTAACTGTATTTAACCCTTTAATAATGAGCATTAGTTAACTTTCTTCCAACCTATACATTGTTCCATAAATGGAAAAAAAACAGTTAAGACATTGTTCCTCTTGAGTTAAGTATTATCTGTAGGTATTACCTGCATGACTGACTGATTGTGGTGAATTGAGGTTATTGGAGGTCTCCACACTTACCTTTCAAACCATCAGTCAATGAAAAGGTCTCTCTCTACTGAAACCATAAAAAACTATTTACAACTTAAACGTACCTTTTAAGCCCTAATCAACTTGCTCCTATTCAATCATGCACTGATAAACATACCCATCATTTGAACTTGCAGCACACAACTCCCCAAAAAGATTAGGTCAAACATGGCAGTTTACAGATTAACCCTCTGTGTTATATGGGGTGGGATTCCAAATCTTCCACTTTACCAAAAAATGTGTAAATAGGCATAAGGCTGCGTTTACTTCCAAATAAAATTTCAATATTATGTATATCAAAGACAACGAGCAATATGCATGAAGAAGCAACTGACAGCACACAGTCAGTGGGCAGATTAACAGTCCCTATTTATTATGTCAAATTTATATGTAGTTGATCCTTATGATTTGAGTACTTTCCCCTCTGTAATAATATATGCAGTTTATTTTTTATTTTTTTTTTTTATAAAATACAGTATATAATATATACTTGGCTCATAAGCAAACTCTGATTTATGCTTAGTCTGAAAAGTAATATTAAATACATTCTAAGGTGATAGCTAAATTTACTAGGTACAGTGAAGACCAAAAAAAATTATATAATACACAATTATGCTTAATCAAGATGCTTCATCACCAAGAAAACTATATGCTAAATAAAAAAAAATTATATAAAATTCTGCAATGCAGAATTAATACTGCATATACAAGAAGACATTAAACATCCTGCAAGAATCATGTCGAATATTTCAAGAAGTTTTTAACTGATAATTTATGTTGCATGAATTAACCTCAACCACTACAACAATAATACAATGATGAATGATCTTAATAAGGACATTATATTATTTTACTTTCATAAGAACCTATAAGAAAGGACATGTGACAAATCTATAAAAAAAAAAAATCGAAAATAGTGAAACTACGTAATTTGTGGAAAGTATTAAACCCACAAAAAAATAGTACGAAACATGTGTAATGATGATAATGCTTAGAGAGTAGAAAAAAGCCTTTAAGATCTTGCAAAATATGGCAGGTAAAGAGAGAAATTTTTGGCTAAGTGGAAGAATGGTTACCACCTCTCTCAACCTTACACTGTACCATGTCTGACTACATATTTAAAGCAAGGAAAAAATGCAGTATTGTATGCTAGTTTTTGACATAATGACTAGAAACATATTGCCATGTTGAAATGTCAAAGTGTAATGAACACTTGTCAATGAGAGATCCAAACCCACGTGGAGACAGAAGCAGGTTGTGTGTATATTTTAACCTCCAATCAAAGTATCGGCTGAAAAGAACCCCAGGTGAAGGTCACAACATAGATAACCTATTGTTTCTGTCTGTGGGTTTGGCTCCCTCATTACCATGTTTAAGAACAGATAGCTTATCATCGTAAACAGGACCATTCTTAATCATTCTTGACAATTTTAATAAAACTAGTCTGTCAGACACTGTTAACTGGGAAAAAATAAATAACTGATAGAAAATGAGGAAGCTGCATTACTTAAAATTCAAGGTTGGCATAGTTGAATAATATTTCAGATGTATAATATAGACAATGACATAACAAAACATCCCTGCAAAATGTACGAGGAAGAATAATTATAATAAAAAATGATGAGCTGCACTAAGCTATACATTTGTACTAAGGCTATGTAGGACTGCAAATGACTTTCTCCCATAAATTATCTGCTTGATTTAACCTATATAGTAGTTAAGTAACAGAAAATCCACATCACTGTTTGATGTTACTCAAGTCAACATGTGACTATAAGCTAGCTCACAACCTACTTAAGAGAACTGAATGTTTTAGTTATACAGAGCAAAGAGGCTCTAAACAATGACATGCTTAACAAAACAATAGTAAAATCTGATGTTAACTTAAAGCAAAATGCAGAAAAAAAAGAGGGGGGGGGGGGGGCGTGACCAGAATGCAGTCGATCATGCTCTCATTCTTCTAAAGAATCTTGTAAACTTTTTCGTAATTTACATTTTCCTTCAAACTGGGAGAGCCACAAACTACAGGACGGGTAGAGCTCATAGATACCAGTATTTACTAATCGTGTGTTAGATTTTACTCTCAATAAAATTAAGAGGCTATGATCAGTCTGTTGAGTCATATTCTTATATGACTTGTGTATATTTATCTTAATTTCAAAGCTTCTTTTAATTAAGAAATACAGGTATACCTCATTAATACAGTACTCACTTTAGAGGGTTTTGCTAATTCGTCACTTTTCAGTTATATTCTTATTATTATTTTTGCTTACCTTGCTCTTAAAATGATTTTTGGCAAATTTCAAATTTGTTTTTATTTATTATTGTTACTTTTCCATCATTTTTTTTAGGCCTAGTGCTAATGCGCACTTAATGATAGTTTAAACATGTTTTTAGGCTTTTATACACACTGACAAGTAGAAAAAAAAAGGCAATATTCGCTTTATGGTGATCTGAAACTTAATCCGCTGTATTAGTGAAGTATGCCTATATAGACACTTTGAAATTATGATTTCTAAATGGGAACTTGGTTCAGTAGAGAAACAGATTATTCTTAAATCTCAAAAGAATATCTGAGGATTCACCTTGACAGGTACCGTAAAATAGGTGAAAAAAAAAAAAGATGATGCCATAAATTACACAACAGGATGTACAAGTGTAATGCCAACAGGTATAGGAATGAAGATGCAATATTCAAAATAGCCTTTAACTGTCCCAATGAAAGATTTATTCTGCATATTGTCCTTGTACCCATAAATTGTATAAATTCATCAAAATAAAAATGATCTACATTAATACACTGTACAGCATTACAAGCCTCAATTGGTGTTGAAAACTGTTACAACAAATTGATGTTGAATAGCCATGAAGTCCATAATTAACACTTGTTATACAGTAGACCCTTCAGTAAGACAACCTCTGGTAATGCTGATTCAGTAACATGCAATTCAAGAAGTATATTACCTTGATCATTATCCTGATACAAAAGCCATAATTTATGGATTTGAGAGCAACGAGCAAAACAGCTGGTGGCCACACATGATGAGGTTAATTGTTTAAAAGAGGCTCATTATTATTATTATAATCAAAAAGAAGCGCTAAGCCTAAAAGAGGCTCAGCATTATTGGACTTACCAAGTGTGTTTATCAAATGATTTTGGACATTATCAGCTCCCCATCTCACCATGGAACCCAAAAATAATAATAGTGATACTAAAGATCCTAAGAAAAAAAAAAAAGGAAAAAAAAAAAAAAAAAAAAGGGGGGTTTCCAAGAAAATTGAGGAATTAGATATGCTTAAAGTGTGTAGTGAAGTTGGGAGTGAATCACCAATTTTAGTAACCTATAATAACATTGTTTAACCCTTTTGGGTTTAGTGCTTTATTAAATATTATAATTCATCATTACACATTTCCATGCCTTTGTTATTTATGTGTTCTAACTGTATTATACAGTTATTGAATATGTTAGTCATGATGTTTAAAAAAGTTACTAACGAAGAAAGTTGTGAAGGCATCACCTCTGCAAAGTTGTTGTTGGGAGTTTTAAGAGCCACCACAACTAAACTACAGAATTTATGCAAACAGGTGTATTAACTGGTGGGGATTGTGCAGGTGGCAGCTTTCTCCCAGGACTAGTACACTAAACATTTTCAGTGCAATTTTTTTTCAGGACAGAGTCTTTGATAATGCTTCAGTATTTGAGTTTGAGATGAGCTAATTTCTTACTACTAATAATTTGGTGAGAATAAATAAATGGTTTTCATACATTTTATAAATACTGGTATGCAAAACACTGTAAACTTGTTTAATATTTCACAAATCATAATTTTTTTTCCTGAAGTGACAGGAGTAAAAATGTGAAAGGGGAAACTTTTGACAATTTTTTTTAGTTCACTGTATAGGTTAGCTGTCATATAGGAAAGTAGTATTTACCAAAATGTATTGTATGTGCTTATATTATCTTAACATCTTTCACTACATTATATTTCTCTGATGTAACAGTGTATCTCCATTTTCAGATTCTGCATCAATATGAGTAAATCAAAGACCACAAAAATGATCATATCCTCATGGGATCAAAGGTGATGAGTGCCACAAAAAAATTTACTCTGACAATACAGAATAAAGTCATCTCAAAATGTGGCACAATGGCAAGAAAGTTACATTGACTGCTGTACAGGAATTAAAACTGAACTGGTTTCTGAGTTTACCCTACTAGTACTAGCTAGCATAAGTAGTGCAGGCGAGACATTGGCTAGGTGTTATATTCATGTTTTATAAGCTTACCCAGTAAGCTTGTAACCTTTTAGTGATTCTTAATGATGTTACAGACTGTGATTTCCTTTTTTTTCCTATGGCTAATGGAGTGAACAGTAGTAGTATGCAAAGTGTAACACAGTGTAATTCTACCAAACCATGCACAGGGAAAACATTGATAACAGTCAAGTGGTGATGTCTGCCAAGAGAAGCCCAGTTGCAAATTGACACTTTTATGTTGTTACTTGTAATCTACACATTGTAGTGATTAATTTACTCAATACAGTCAATTGATGTCATTAATTACATGATTATCTACTATGGATATTTGTCACCTTTTGATTTGACTTAATGTGTCATATCAAAAGACTCAAGCATTTGTTAGTTGATCATGCTGTAACTTCTGTGCTATTTTATGCTGCATATAGTGCTTATATGGAAATCGGGGCACTCTTAAAAAAATCATGGCAAGTTTATTGTCACCCCTTCCCAATAAGGTGCCACCATATAATAGTCGATACTGCTTGCTACATGTTTATTCGTATTGTACAGGGACACATTAACCCTCTCTACACACTTGCATATCAACAAGCAACAGCCACCAGAATTTAGTCAAATAGTTACTTCTTTTGACTTTCTTTCACATTTTTTTTTTTTTTTTTCTTTTTTTTTGAAGGACCAAGGAATGTAATCCTATTTTTCCCATATATTCTTCACTCTGAATCATGCTTATTTCAATAAAGTGCCAGTCCTCACAAATATTACTCAAGGGTCTACTGTATTAGTTATTTCATAGCCATACTGAAAGAAAAAAGTAAAGAACTGCCCTTAACATGCACATTGAATATTGTATAGGGGAATTTGGACTCGAAATACAAGTACTGTAGTATGATCATGATATTTATTTTGAATTTGTTTAACAACTTAAGATAGTGCAACTCTTCCCTGAACCTATCAGAATTAATGTTAAAAATTTAAGGTACAGCTCTTTTTCATATCAGCAGAATAACAAAAATTCCTAATATTTCACTTTAAGACTACCTTGTAACCTAGAAAATTTAAATATAATCAGTCTCTTCAATGTTATACAGTTCAAAACCCATGACCATAAGTTTCTTCTAATCCTCTAAAGTATTAAGTCAATATAATTGCCAGCATCTCGTGTAATAAACGAAGGCATGGTTTGTTAATGCAAAGTTTGATCCATTAAGAGTGCATTTCACCTACTCAGAAACAGGGTGGGCATATGATCTTAAAACAGTTTTTTTGACCACTGCTACATTTAGGAAGAGCTGATGGCTCAGCGACTTTAAAAAAAAAGTTTCTATTCCACTACATGCAACATTTTATTACATTCCCAACTAAATGAAGAGGAACCAATATACTGTTGCTGACTTCTGAGGTGTTGGTTTGTCTGCCAAGTATGAACTAAGATAAAATTACTAAAGCAATACAGTACTGACTAATGTAAAACACTGAAGAGAAAGCAAAATAAGGCAGAGGAAATGTGAAGTATACAAAACATTTTGCAACTAACCAAGTAGTTGCAGGCAAAACTAGATGAAATTAAGGTTTGTATTAGATCATTATCAAGTTGGTACTGGTTCAAGACAGTTTATAATGCCCTCTACTTCTCCATAAAAGAAAATATCAACAGAAGAAATAATGAGAACAGAGATTGGTAACTAAAGAGGAGTTTGAAAATGCAAACCATAAATTGAGTCTTTAATAAAATTGTACTGTAGCCAATGAAATAAAATTAAATTTATACAAAAATTTCAATCTAAAAACAGGGTTCAATTTACAATGAAAATGTTATGGCAAAATAGCTATATGTAGATATAGATTATATAACAAATTAAGAGAAAGAACATAAATATATTAAAGTACAATAAAATTCTAGCCACAAGGTATACATGAAAATCCAGAGGAGAACTGTGTGATGGCCAATGTAGATATAATTACATTATTGACAATTTCTGTTATTAATGAAGAAAGCAGCCATGAAAACAGATTAAACATGCCACAACTGTAAACTTAGAGAACAGCCAAGTTGGTCAGCGTAGTACATGCTGTATGGCATTACAGATATTCATGCTTTTTTTTTTTATATCTCCAATTACTTTAGGACATTACAAACTTACAGGTTGTCAAAATTTCATAGAAGCAGATACTAAGTTTCAAGATGAACTTAAATAGTAAGAGAAAGCATAATTTTAATGCCTGAATACATCTACAATATTCATAGACAAGGTTTTATTTGCTTGATCAAAAATGAATAGCGCAACATTTGTTCTTAAAATCATTTTTTTTATTTATTTTTTTTTTTAGCTTTGAAAATGGTATGTAAGCAATAGTGTTGTACAAAATATACTCTGGTCATTTATTCTGTGAACTATACCATACCAGAAACCTACTAATTACCATTAGTATTTCAATACATATCCATAAAAGTCCACTTCTATAATTGTAAATATCAAAAGAAAATATTTCTGTAAGGCTACAATATTGTTTACAGGGAAACTGAGGATCCACACACTACATAATCTCTGGACACTGCCAGTAGCATTCATATAAAAACAATTTTATTGACAGTCTTTTCTGGTATACAAAAAAATGCACTTAAATATCACAGTATCATTATCAAGAGTGATTTCTTACTCTATAGTCTTGCGGACAGATATAATCCAACACTTATCACCCATAAAGGTCCATACAATGCTTTTACTATTGACTAAATTTAAATTGTAGTGAAAAAATTCACAGCGTTAATTATCAAACATTAATATTTTAATAGATTCAGCACTGTTTTTGCAATTACGATTTTTTCACAACAAAATCAGAATTGCTTGTAGTGATCTTGTATCCCCTCTCTGCAGTTATCTGAAAAAAAAAAAATTCACTTTTTTTTTTCCTTCACACATTGTTCATTTTACACTTTCATTCATAGACAGTGAACCTCGTTTTAACCATCAAGTTTTATGATAAACATAATGAACATTGAAAATATTTGTTAAAATATTCCAGAAGCTGGAATAAGGGAATGTGCAAAAAGTATAGAACTGAAAACTCGTGCCAAAAAAGAAAGTACATTTGGGTGTTAAGCATGGCTTTTGAATGTTGCAGCAAAGAACCCCTCAAGGAAGGTTCCTTGATGTTGGTGAGGGACTCTTGATTTAGGGAATTGGATCTGTGCTCCAGTTCCCCGAATTAAGCCTGAATGCCTTCCACATCCCCCCCAGGCGCTTCCCCTTGATTATAATATAATAATAATAATGCACCAAAGAAGCAGTTAGTGCTATGATTATGATCAATGAGTGGTGTGAATTATGAAGAGATTTAGGAAAAGAGATAGGAAGACTGTGGTGGTATTTAAATTATAATTCAAAGAAAAGAAATAGACAGCATGGTCATGTAGAAAGAATAGAGAAAGACAGAATGGCTAAAATGAAGTCTAAATCTAGTCTGATAAAAAAAAAAGCTTGAAAATTAGGAAGACATATCATGAGGCAGTGGTTTGAACATCCAGAATGAATACGAGTGAGAGACCATCTTTATTTCTGAAATGTTACACCCACATGGTACTAAGCAAAGGTCTCGAGAGTAGATACTTTGGATAACAAATATCATAGTGAAAAGGTTAGCCTACTAAATGATTCCAGAACTTTCACAAAGAAATTCTGTGACCTTAAATTTAGCATGTGTTAGTTGGCAGTGGCAAGTGTTTTTCACTGAAGAGTTAGCTAAACAAGCATGAAGAAGTCTTTGATAAGAATTTCAAAGGTTCCTTCACAAGTCCTTTCAAACATGAAGGCACATCTAGAGTAAACTACATGAAATAATCTCAAACCTCAAGAACTGAGTGCTGCCAGAGAAGTATAGTAGCATCACAAGATATAGAAAGATTGAAGTGGAAAAACTAATAAGTAATAAATGGGGCTAGATAAAAGTTCATCTAAAAATAGTTAACAAAAAATATAAGACTTAGAAAAACATGACTAAGAGACTGGCATAACTAACACTAACAGTTAGTCATGAAGTAGCTACTCACCTGGAGGTACGGTCTAGGAAATATACACATAGGTCCACCACTGATTAGTTACTACAGTGCTCGGAGTGGTCCTCCCAAGCTGCCACCTGTAAAAAATATAATAAAGATGAGGATGAATAAGGCAGAACCATTGTTTATATATATATATATTATATATATATATATATATTATTTATAATATTATAATATATATATATATTTTTTTTTTTTTTTCAACAAGTCGGCCATCTCCCACCGAGGCAGGGTGACCCAAAAAAGAAAGAAAATCCCCAAAAAGAAAATACTTTCATCATCATTCAACACTTTCACCACACTCACACATTATCACTGTTTTTGCAGAGGTGCTCAGAATACAACAGTCTAGAAGCATACACATATAAAGATACACAACATATCCCTCCAAACTGCCAATATCCCAAACCCCTCCTTTAAAGTGCAGGCATTGTACTTCCCATTTCCAGGACTCAAGTCCGACTATATGAAAATAACCGGTTTCCCTGAATCCCTTCACTAAATATTACCCTGCTCACACTCCAACAGATCGTCAGGTCCCAAGTACCATTCGTCTCCATTCACTCCTATCTAACACGCTCACGCACGCTTGCTGGAAGTCCAAGTCCCTTGCCCACAAAACCTCCTTTACCCCCTCTCTCCAACCCTTTCGAGGATGACCCTACCCGCCTTCCTTCCCCTATAGATTTATATGCTTTCCATGTCATTCTACTTTGATCCATTCTCTCTAAATGACCAAACCACCTCAACAACCCCTCTTCTGCCCTCTGACTAATACTTTTATTAACTCCACACCTTCTCCTAATTTCCACACTCCGAATTTTCTGCATAATATTTACACCACACATTGCCCTTAAACAGGACATCTCCACTGCCTCCAACCGTCTCCTCGCTGCTGCATTTACCACCCAAGCTTCACACCCATATAAGAGTGTTGGTACTACTATACTTTCATACATTCCCTTCTTTGCCTCCATAGATAACGTTTTTTGACTCCACATATACCTCAACGCACCACTCACCTTTTTTCCCTCATCAATTCTATGATTAACCTCATCCTTCATAAATCCATCCGCCGACACGTCAACTCCCAAGTATCTGAAAACATTCACTTCTTCCATACTCCTCCTCCCCAATTTGATATCCAATTTTTCTTTATCTAAATCATTTGACACCCTCATCACCTTTCTCTTTTCTATATTCACTTTCAACTTTCTACCTTTACACACATTCCAAAACTCATCCACTAACCTTTGCAATTTTTCTTTAGAATCTCCCATAAGCACAGTATCATCAGCAAAAAGTAACTGTGTCAATTCCCATTTTGAATTTGATTCCCCAAAATTTAATCCCACCCCTCTCCCGAACACCCTAGCATTTACTTCCTTTACAACCCCATCTATAAATATATTAAACAACCATGGTGACATTACACATCCCTGTCTAAGACCTACTTTTACCGGGAAGTAGTCTCCCTCTCTTCTACACACCCTAACCTGAGCCTCACTATCCTCATAAAAACTCTTTACAGCATTTAATAACTTACCACCTATTCCATATACTTGCAACATCTGCCACATTGCTCCTCTATCCACTCTATCATATGCCTTTTCTAAATCCATAAATGCAATAAAAACTTCCCTACCTTTATCTAAATACTGTTCACATATATGCTTCAATGTAAACACTTGATCTACACATCCCCTACCCACTCTGAAACCTCCTTGCTCATCCGCAATCCTACATTCTGTCTTACCTCTAATTCTTTCAATTATAACCTACCGTACACTTTTCCTGGTATACTCAGTAAGCTTATTCCTCTATAATTTTTACAGTCTCTTTTGTCCCCTTTCCCTTTATATAAAGGGACTATACATGCTCTCTGCCAATCCCTAGGTACCTTCCCTCTTTCATACATTTATTAAACAAAAGTACCAACCACTCCAACACTTATCCCCCCTGCTTTTAACATTTCTGTCATGATCCCATCAGTTCCAGCTGCTTTACCCCCTTTCATTTTACGTAATGCCTACGTACCTCCCCCACACTTACATTCTGCTCTTCTTCACTCCTAAAAGATGGTATACCTCCCTGACCAGTGCATGAAATTACTGCCTCTGTTTCTTCCTTAACATTTAAAAGTTCCTCAAAATATTCTCGCCATCTACCCAATACCTCCATCTCCCCATCTACTAACTCCCCTACTCTGTTTTTAACTGACAAATCCATATTTTCCCTAGGCTTTCTTAACTTGTTTAACTCACTCCAAAATTTTTTCTTATTTTCATTAAAATTTCTTGACAGTGCCCTCCCACTCTATCATCTGCTCTCCTTTTGCACTCTCTTCACACTCTCTTTACTTCTTTTACTCTCCATATACTCTGCTCTTCTTATAACACTTCTGCTTTGTAAAAACCTCTCATAAGCTACCTTTTTCTCTTTTATCACACCCTTTACTTCATCATTCCACCAATCACTCCTCTTTCCTCCTGCTCCCACCCTCCTATAACCACAAACTTCTGCCCCACATTCTAATACTGCATTTTTAAAACTATTCCAAATCTCTTCAACCCCCCCACTACTCATCTTTGCACTAGTCCACCTTTCTGCCAATAGTCGCTTATATCTCACCCGAACTTCCTCCTCCCTTAGTTTATACACTTTCACCTCCCTCTTACTTGTTGTTGCCACCTTCCTCTTTTCCCATCTACCTCTTACTCTAACTGTAGCTACAACTAAATAATGATCCGATATATCAGTTGCCCCTCTATAAACATGTACATCCTGGAGCCTACCCATCAACCTTTTATCCACCAATACATAATCTAATAAACTACTTTCATTATGTGCTACATCATACCTTGTATATTTATTTATCCTCTTTTTCATAAAATATGTATTACTTATTACCAAATTTCTTTCTACACATAGCTCAATTAAAGGCTCCCCATTTACATTTACCCCTGGCACCCCAAATTTACCTACTACTCCCTCCATAACATTTTTACCCACTTTAGCATTGAAATCCCCAACCACCATTACTCTCACACTTGATTCAAAACTCCCCACGCATTCACTCAACATTTCCCAAAATCTCTCTCTCTCCTCTACACTTCTCTCTTCTCCAGGTGCATACACGCTTATTATAACCCACTTTTCACATCCAATCTTTATTTTACTCCACATAATCCTTGAATTAATACATTTATAATCCCTCTTTTCCTGCCATAGCTTATCCTTCAACATTATTGCTACTCCTTCTTTAGCTCTAACTCTATTTGAAACCCCTGACCTAATCCCATTTATTCTCTCCACTGAAACTCTCCCACCCCCTTCAGCTTTGTTTCACTTAAAGCCAGGACATCCAGCTTCTTCTCATTCATAACATCCACAATCATCTCTTTCTTATCATCTGCACAACATCCACGCACATTCAGACTTCCCACTTTGACAATTTTCTTCTTCTTATTCTTTTTAGTAATCTTTACAGGAAAAGGGTTACTAGCCCATTGTTCCCGGCATTTTAGTTGACTTTTACAACACGCATGGCTTACGGAGGAAAGATTCTTTTTCCACTTCCCATGGATATAAAAGGAAAATTAATAAGACCAAGAACTATTAAGATAAAATCAAAGAAAACTCAGATGAGTGTGTATAAATAAATGTGTACATGTATGTGTAGTGTGACCTAAGTGTAAGTAGAAGTAGCAAGACATGCCTGTAATCTTGCATATTTATGAGACAGACAAAAGACATCAGCAATCCTACCATCATGTAAAAGAATCACAGGCTTTCGTTTTACACTCACTTGGCAGGACGGTAGTACCTCCCTGGGTGGTTGCTGTCTACCAACCTACTATATACTATATATATATATATATATATATATATATATATATATATATATATATATATATATATATATATATATATATATATATATATATATATATATATACATATATATATTGTAGGTAGTAGGTTGGTAGACAGCAACCGCCCAGGGAGGTACTACCGTCCTGCCAAGTGAGTGTAAAACGAAAGCCTGTAATTGTTTTACATGATGGTAGGATTGCTGGTGTCTTTTGTCTGTCTCATAAATATGCAAGATTACAGGTAAGTCTTGCTACTTCTACTTACACTTAGGTCACACTACGCATGTGTGTACAAGCTGGGTTTTCTTCTATTTTCTTTTCTAATTCTTGTTCTTGTTTATTTCCTCTTATCTCCATGGGGAAGTGGAACAGAATTCTTCCTCTGTAAGCCATGCATGTCGTAAGAGGTGACTAAAATGCCGGGAGAAAGGGGCTAGTAACCCCTTCTCCTGTATATATTACTAAATTTAAAAGGAGAAACTTTAGTTTTTTTTCTTTTGGGCCACCCTGCCTCAGTGGGATATGGCTGGTACATTGAAAGAATAAATATATAAATATATAATAATAAGTAAATAAATATATAAATATATTATATATATATATATATATATATATAATTATATATATATATATATATATACTATATATATATATATATATATTATATATATATATATATATATATTATATAATATATATATATATATATATATATATATTATATATTATTATATATATATATTATATATATATATATATATATTATATATATATATATATATATATATATATATATATATATATATATATATATATATATATATATATATATGACTGTAGACTGCTCCAGCAATGAGCTGGCAATTAAACGAGCGAGGTGGCGTTAGCAAGGTAGTTTGCCAACTCACGGGCAGCTATTCAACACTCAAATAAGGGAGCACAAAATAAAGTGTAAAGTGTTACATCCTACCTAATGACATAAGTCAAATAATAATATAAAGCATGATACTTTCAATTTAGCTAATACTGAAAATATAAGCAATATAAAATTATATGAAATGGTAAAATACATTATATACATTGAATATAAATTGTGCCTCATTCAGGGGTCGCAACAGTACACTACTGTATAAACATTTAAAAATATACCAGAAATGTTATAAATGGTGCAAAGGTGACATTAAAACAATATCAAAAGG